CCATTAAGAGCACCTTTCTTGACAAAGTGAACTGCTTTTAATAAAAGTACTGATGACAGTAGAGCAATGCAATATCTTATCATGAGAGCTAGCAGTCAAAGAAGTCTCATTACTGTGCTTCATTCTCTTAGATTAGTCCGCATTAGGATCACAATGGCAACACTTTGGTGAGACATTTACATCTAGAATAAATAAGTTAGAGTCAGCACAACAATTTGCCCTGTGCCATCAGGAAGGAATCGTGATTTGGCAACGTCATCAAAAATTGGAATGCGTAAACGCAACTGCAAGTTGCGAACTCCTTTATTTATACTAAGAGTTTAAGGCGCCGCTCAACCCCTTCTCGGGAACGCAGCAGGTTGAATATGTGGTGATTTTGTAAACGAAAATGAATATTTACCGAGCCCGTCATAATAAGAGCTCTTCCAAAATCTGGCTTTTCAATCCTTGAATTCACAAAGAAAACTTTTAAAAAAGGAACTACTGTCCTGCTTACTGCTGTCGTTGCATTATGCATTTCTTTTACTCTACAATAAACGATGTTGACATATTATTAGAAAAATTGAAAAACGAAAATTTTAAATATTTATTTGAAAATCATCTCCTGCCCATCGTTCCGTATGCTCTCCCCCCACTTGACCATCAAACCTTTGAGCTGACTTTGTAGTCTATAGTGTGAGCACCATAGGCAGAGCTAGCCGGTTAGCGCTATCTGATCGCAATATTTCAATGCTTTAGCAGGATATAACTCGCCTGCCAATTCTTCTTAGGCTGCCCTTTAAAGAAACTTGGCAATCCGGCTAACCACCCCGTCACCCTTTCACTATAAATAGTCAATAATGAAGGTTGAGTAAAAGCTAAGTATCACTCTAGAAACTACGCGCACACAGTCCGACGTCTGCAAATAGTGGGCAAGGTAGACCGTCTTACAAGCAAGACGGGTAAGAATGCTAGCTTCTAAAGTAGCTATCCGAGAACTGAGAAGCTCCGATTAGCTGCCGTCAATGTCGAAACCCACATAGGCGACATCGAGAGCTGGCTAATTTCCTGAGAAAACGAGGGTTATATTCTGTGCGCAGGAAATGAAGTAAAAGAGTGGAAAATCATGCGATATCAGTGATGGTAAGCTCTCAAACAATGGTACGAGCAACAGCCGAAAGGTATAGTTGTGGAAAGCCTAAGAAGCAAGATTGCCGCGATTGACCGATTAATTGATCGACTAATGAGCATAAAGATCGACAATGAGAGAAAAATCCTTATTGTGACGGCCTATGCTCTACAAGC